CTTGCCTCTTAGCTGTTATAAAAAAAAAAGATTTATCTCACTATCTACGGTTATGTGAATAGAAATGAACTTTACACTATATTGTTTACCATATGACTACAGCGTTTAATTACAGGTCGATCTATGGCTAATTGTAGAAAAGTAAATTTTATGACCATTAATATATTAATAAATTCTGGCTTTATAGAATAAAACATAATAGGTTGGGGAAAAGTCGTTTCATACAACTTTCAAACATACAATAAAACATATAACAGAAATTTATGGGCGCAAAATTGAATTTATTAAATGAAAGTGGCGTTGTAATTACAAATCTCCTTTCGGTCTAACGCTGTCAAATTTAAGCAATCAAAATTTCGAAATTGTGCTATAAATATTATAGTCGAAATTGAATTTGACAAATACAAAACTTCGACATTCGTTGTAAATTTTTTAATTACTTTTTGATTGATTTCGAACAAAAAGCATACGCACTTACTATGGCGTCGTTTATTAATCTTTTCGTTTGGACTGTTTGATTCATCATCATCGACAACAGAATCAAAAATCGTAAAACAATATAGACCTCACATAACATTAAAAATTCTGATATGCTACGGCTATATTGATACAAAAAATATAAGATAACACCAACATAAAATATTTTTTTAGTCCCAAATATAATATTATGTCACTCCTCCAATAATTTAGTACAGCTTCTTGTTGAATTTAGAAAACGAAATTAGAGAAAAATGAGTAAATATATGTTTTTTATTGGGACTTTTTGTGAGATTTTTGCAAGTTTATGCATGGGCTATAAAAAAATAGTAGCTATGACAAATAAGGGGAAGGAAATCGCTGCTCACTTATTAACTAAAAAAAATTTACTGGTGGTAGGAACTATTGTGAGTCCGCACGGGTAGGTACCACCAACCCGCCTATTTCTGCCGTGAAGCGTAATGTGTTTCGGTTTGAAGGGTGGGGTAGCCGTTGTAACTATACTGAGACCTTGGAACTTATATCTCAAGATGGATGGCGCGTTTACGTTGTAGATGTCTATGGGCACCAGTAACCACTTAACACTAGGTGGTCTGTGAGCTCGTCCACCCATCTAAGCAATAAAAAAAAAATCAAAATAGCACTGGAAAACATGTTGCCAAAGTTATGATCTTATCACATCGGTATACTAAGTATAGGTAACAATAATAAGTTAAAGGAAAAAAAATATAACAAAGAAATAAACAAATCAATTGATCAGTTCATTTCTAAATTTTTTGGGTAATTGATTTAATGGTAATTGGTTATTTTATTTAAAAATAACAATCAATTATGTTACTTCAGTTTAATAAACATGTAGATGTACCGATAAATAGTAATCAAATAACAGTATTTAGTATACTAAGCTTTATGATCGCGTGCTAAGTTGTATTGTGTTTCAGATTCGTAGACATCAAAATTTGTGCACTATTGATGAAATAGGTCACGGTTTATCCAATAAATTCAAGGGAAAGACGATTTTACTTGTGTATGTCAATTGATTTTCGAGTTATGTAAAAAGTATGTAACTATACAAAGCATACGCATATTTATTTAAAAAAAAACCTGTAGGTTTTTCTATACCAAAATGGTTTATAGCACCGTTCGGAATTACGAGAGCACGCACAAATAGCCCACCATCAAGTACCTACACCCTGCCTATTTCTGCCATGAAGCAGTAATGCGTTTCGGTCTGTAGGGTGGGGCAACCGTTGTACTGTAAAAACTGGAACCTAATATTTCGAGGTGGATGGCGACATTTACTTTGTGGATGTCTATTGTTCCCGGTAATTACTTGATACCAGGTGGGCCATAAGCTCGTCCACCCATATAAGTAATAAAAAAATAACATAAAAATTTTAGAAAAATTGTTACCTGACTGCGGCACTAGAACACTGGCATTGTCGCACCGCTAGAAACGAGTATATTCACATATTAACGCGACTTAAAACATTACCTGTTCCAAGGAAAAATGGTGCTACCTCGATCTATTTAAATCAAGAATTTGTGGTCCGTGAACAGTAAAACTGAGCCATAGCCATTTATCAAAATAAACCTTTTGTTTCCTCCAACAATAAAACGATTTTCCCGTCTTTCCGTCCACATCGTCGCAGAACCTTAACTTGCTTTTTGTTATTTATTTCGGTACTGTCTTGTCAATTCTTCCAGATAAATTCACACCTAAAAGATAGTCTGTCCTAGTTTGAAAGTCTAAATATTTTAATACTAGCCTTTTAAAATGTAAAGGTTTATATTATGGACTTTTTTTTTTCCACCTCTTTAAAGCCGTTTACTTTGGCACACTATTTCAAGCTTTCAATGAATTGTGGGACTGATAATGCGGGAACACAATATACGATCCCACTTAAAATTTTACACGTTGAGCTTGCAGAGAAGCGTAAATTATTTAATAATGTATAAAAGACAAAAGTTTCTAAAAGCCATGCATGCTGGTTTCCCACAGAAAATCTTTATCAAAAATCAGATTTATAAAATTATATGTAACATATATGTAGATTACATTTTTCCTTGATAGGTACTTCTTAAATATGTGTATACCTTTAAATACTAGGTACTGTGTACATATACTTTAAATTTTGATATTTTTATTAAAGAGCGCTTTCTCCAAACAAAACCATATATGTATTTGCTTATAACTGGCCATGCGATAGGTTGTATGTCTACTCTCATAAATAAATAAAAAGTTTAGTTAACAGTAAGCTTTAAATTAGTTATTATCCTTAATACAGTAAATACAGTTAAGGATAATAAGTAATTTGAATTTAATCTGAATTCTAAAGTCAGGTGGTAAAGAGGAGGTAAACGGATCATCTCGCACAATTTCTCAGAAATACTTATGAGACAAACGATACAAAACACAAAGAGAACCGAAGATCTTTTACGGAGGTGAAAGTACTTTGTACAGTATGTTATAAAGTATTCAAACGTGAAATAACGCGTCGCTTTGTTGAATCCAAGCGTGTTTTATATCAACTTTGCGTTATTCTTCAAATGATTCCGATTCATTCTTCAATCTCGTCGCAAGTACTTCAAATGCTCTTTAGCAATAACTTATTTCATTTTAAAAATGTCTGTTTGTACTATGATTTTGTGTAGTATGCAATATCGGAATAGATATTAAAATAGACACCAGCAGTGTATACCACAAAAGCTATGAGACACCTATTTTATTCTATCTAATTATTAATATTATTATTACTGGTGGTAGAACTTCTTGTGAGTCCGCGCGGGTAGGTACCACCGCCCTGCTTATTTCTGCTGTGAAGCAGTAATGCGTTTCGGTTAGAAGGGTGGGGCAGCCGTTGTAACTATACTGAGATCTTAGAACTTATACTTATAACTTATCAAGGTGGGTGGCGCATTTACGTTGTAGATGTCCATGGGCTCCAGTAAACACTTAACACCAGGTGGGCTGTTAGCTCGTCTACCCATCTAAGCAATAAAAAAAATAAAAAAATCTATTTCTATTTTTATTCTACTGTAATGATAAATTTGACATTTTTAGCATTATATCACATTTAATTTACTTTTTAGAATAATTTTTCTTAAACAATAAAACAGTTTACGTAAAGATAAAATAATTCCCACTTTTTTTTTTATTCCATCATTCATTTTAAACGTCAAATTAAGCTCTACCACCTATTACAAAAAAATTCATAGTCCTGAATAGAGTCGGCAAAATATTAGAAACTCAAACGAACTTTTTAAGCATCTATATCCGAATTAGCCAACTTCATATTCTTGAGTAGCAAAAATAGCTAAGTTTTCATTACATTATTTTCATTACACGACATGAAATGAAAATTTAAAAAACTTCGGTATTTTTTTTAACAATATTTTGGTACTAAAGTCGGTAAATAGCATATTAAGTTTTGTAAAAATACATCAACGTTGTCGTCATCGTCGAACAACAAGGAAGTTATGAAGCACATCTAAAAATTCTCTCATGAAATCTTTAGGGAATTAAATATTGCTAAGGATACGGAATATTAAAGATTTGTGGCAGACTTCCAAAATGGTGTAATACAAGTAATAACATGATATAAATTACAAACTTTAACGGACTTTCAATGGTTTATTCATAATAAGATAGTCAATTTTTCCAAGACTGTCATATTATGGTCTGAATTTTTACAAACAATAGTTTGTTGAAACCTTGTTAGCTAAAATGCCGTTATAGAAAGTAATATTGTCAGCTCGTAGAAAAAAGATTCTTTTCGACAACTTTTCAATTTTGTTATTATATTTCATAATACGAAAAGATCGCTTGATTAGCTCAAGCTTATGGCTAGTACTTACATCGCTCTCGTCCCTGCCGTCTCCTCACACCTCACATTCACCATCAGCTTGCAGCCACATTCGAGTAGCACATCCATGTGAAGATAAAAAAAGTTTATTTCTTTTTTCTACAGACAAATGGTTCAATTTGGATTCAAATCAATTTCTATGACTGATCGATTGGATCGCATTTTATTTTAAAAGATTTATCAAGTAATTGAAAACAAAATCAACAAAATAACTAAGATCGGTTTATACCTTTAATAAGAGTTTAATAATAGATAGAGATAGAGATAAATAATAAGATGAATGTAAAAATATCAACGCGAATGTAACTCTAGCTATCTAGAAAAACACGACGTAATGCGATTGTTCAAAATCCTTCTCCCCTATCATTGCTCTTGTTGCCAGAACAGAGTAGCTGTGTACTACCTTAGACAAAAATAATATGATTCAAACATGAAACAAAACGCGTTTCCTTGGATTTCCCTTTTATTTTTGTTAACCATAGATTTTCCGGGTATAAATCATTCTACTGCAATCATGTTATTTATTTGATTCTGGCATCTGTAGTGTTCTAATTTATTGCTTAAGTTCCTATATCTTGCAACCACCTCGCCGCGATTTAGTCTGCCTTTCTACGGAAAAGCGATATATTATTTATGCATGCCACGTTTTTCCTTTAGGTACTTTACACGCGGATTGCCGTGGGCTTGTGGCAGAGCTCACACACACTTCAGAGCCTCGGACGTGTTCAATGCTGCGCAACGGAATGTCCTCGACCTGAGAAACCTCGCACTGCTAATTACGAGCCGCAACGTACCTTTGTCGGTGCTACCGAGGACAAGGTCAGATTTAAAATACATTATTATGCTAATCACACAGACAGCATACACTGCAAATCAAATTTTCATTGAGTTAATTCAGTAGAGGTTTAAAGAGGGTACGTTGACACGCACGATTGTTATATAAGTTAAGGTTTATTTCATTTTCAATATTATTTTCGTACAAAATTGTCCTATGTTCACTACTAACTGATAATGGTCACGTATCGTGAAAGTCTAGTCTAAATAAAATCGATAATAATAGCTGTAGAAAGTAGCGTTGATAAATTCTTAGCTCTTGATGATGTTTTGATCATAAAGAGGGCTACTAAGCTACTACTTTATGCTAAAATCGAAACTGATAAAAACCTGATTTAGTCAGAACTTTTTGCCGGTCAAAAGATCATCCGTACTTAATAATAAAATAAAAATCCATTAAGTTAAAGTTGATTTTACACTTTTACGAATTTTTATTTATCTCACTGTCTACCCGGTGTTATGTAGTTATCAAAACCTATTCACATCATCATAACTTGAATTGTGCCATCGGTTTTTAAGAAATGAGGTCGAAGTCTTGGTTTTCGTTACCCTTGTAGGCAGACAAGCATACGGCCTGATGGTACGTGGTTACCGTCGCTCGTGGACGTCAGCAATGCTAGTAATACGACAATTGCAGGGACACTCCTTCGAACTGCGGCGGCTCGACGCCGTGAAAAAATTGTATTATATAATGGCTGTCTCATCATTGAAACCGGAATCCAACTGCTTCACAATATATTGTACAATTACGGCCTACCACTAATGAAGCTTTGCGGGTTTCACTTGTTTTACATACTGGTATTATTATTTTTTTATTTTTTTTTATTGATTAGCTGGGTGAACGAGCTCACAGCCCACCTGATGTTAAGTGTTTACTGGAGCCCATAGACATCTACGACGTATATGCGCCACCTACCTTGAGATAATATAAGTTCTAAGGTCTCAAATATAAGTAGTTACAACGGCAGCCCCCCCCCTCCTCCCCCTTCAAACCGAAACGCATTACTGCTTCACGGTAGAATCAGGCAGTGTAGTGGTACCTACTCGTGCGGACTCACAAGAGGTCCTACCACCAATACTTACGCAAATTATAATTTTGGAGGTTTGATTTTTATTACACGATGCTATTCCTTCACCGTGGAAGTCAATTATGAACATTTTTTAAGTACGTATTTCATTAGCAAAATTGGTATCCGCCTGGGATCCACACACCAGTGCATCGCAAGGTACGAATGTACCGAACGTCTTACCCTTCGTGAACAAGACGTGAATAAAAGTGTTTACCTGCATGTGAAGTTTGTTTGAGCACTGGCACTAATTGTTTAAATTGTTTAAATTTAAAAAATCCGGGCGTCTTATGATTTAGACTTTAAAATTTTGATCCTTTCTAAAATGATTAAATATCATTACAATGGCAGTGAATCATAAATTGTTTCCGTAATCATTGTATCTTTAGTTTTTTTATAGTCTAAGTGAACATGAAGTATTTCTTGTCTATACTTCAGACAGTTATGAGATTTCATGGCCTACCATTTGTTACGAGATTGCTCAAGTCGTAAAAGCCACTGCCTATCTGAAGGCATTAGGCCGAACTCTCTGCAGATCGGAATTTTAGATTATGAAAATAAGTATATTCAGTATGTGGTATTTACATTTTCGCGACACTTTCTTCCAACAGTCCGCAACACGTTTACATTGAAATTGGATTCTGAAATAATAATCCAGACACACTCTGTTTTCTTATGTTAATATTAAGCTTATTACTAAAAGGTTTTGGTAAAATCAAAACGATGTTTCGCCGACAGCAACAGCTGTTCTTTATACTTTTTGTTAGATAAATTCAATCTCGTTGTGCGTTGTTAAAGCCTTATTTTCTCATTCCTTTAACGTAGACGCCGATCAAATACACATCCGGTTTGTAGGATAAAATAGCCGTCATTGTCATGAGATCGAGATTTCATTCGACATTCAAGTCAACAAAATGGCAAATATTTATGTTTAGCCTGACAAATTAAGCCTGTTTTCCATGTACATTAAGGTTCTTTTCTGGAGAACGGCTATGCGTCCAGTATAAAAAATATCCAACGGAATTAATTTGTTATTACTCAATCTAATCTAATCTAATAACTTTTTATATTTTCTGTTCAAATAGGACGGAGTGTCGACAAAAGTAAAAGGTCCTCCAGCTAAAAATGTTCGCACTTACGAGCCTCGCGACTGTCACCACCTGAGCCACTTGTCTCGCAACGTGCTGCGCGCGCGTCGCGGTGTCGTGCGGATGCTCATCGTCGTCGTCCTAACGTTCGCCATCTGCAACTTACCATTCCACGCACGCAAGATGTGGCAGTACTGGTCCAGCGGCTACGAGGGATCGAGTGACTTCAGTACACTTTTGACGCCGTTAACGTTCCTCATTACGTATTTCAACTCGGGGATAAACCCTCTCCTGTACGCGTTCCTCTCTAAGAATTTTAGGAAAGGCATGAAGGAGTTATTATTTTGCAACTACCGCGCCAAAAGGAAGAACGATCAGATTATAGTTTTGAATCCAGTAGGCGGTGGAGTCCTGCGACGCAGCTCGACCCGGTCTACCCGCGCTAACTGCAGCACGATTACGATGGCGGCTAACGGTGACTCGTGAGATTTAAGACGGCGGCGCTTTATTCATAGGATGGAGAATATTGACGTTTCCTGATTAACGGAAAGCACGGATGAAGTGACTGACAGTAGCGGTCTCTACACCGTGTCTACAATCTCCAAAATGGACCTATACGGCTAAACTCACGTACGTCGAACTCTCCTATCCGAATAAAAGTGCTCGTATGACTGTTCTCTCGACTCCTGACATTTGGTAAGTCTGATCGTGAACGATCTTGATTATGACGATCTCATGAGCTTAATTTTAATAAGTTTTAGTGTGTATTTTTATTATACGTGTACTTAGATTACACATGTACATCGAATCCAAATGCATGTCATATGAAGACTTTCACAAGTAATTGCGATACATATCTTGTACAAAATGAAATAATGATTTCATTGGCTTGTAATAAAACAAAGTTATAATAGGACTCCGTACAAAACAAAGGAATAAATTTGTACGATATAGTTACAAAAAAAAATTTAAGCATGTAATATCTTATGTAAGGGGTTTTGAATTGTATGTAGTGAGTACGTACCTGTTAAAAGTAATATCCATTTCTAGAATAATATCACTTTGTTTAGAAGACAAAGTAAAATAATTGTTACGACTCTTATAATAAGATATAAATTGTTGTATTTCGTGATTTTAATTCAATGACAGATACTTTATTGTAATATTTAAATTTTGCCCCTTATATGGCGATTGACTTAATAAATGTTATATGAATAAGTGTTATCCATAATTCTACTTGTAATGTGTATATTTATTGCGTGCTTTACAATGATCTTATTGGAAATGCTGAGTATTTCTTCATCAATGAATATTCGGTGAATAAGAAGCACCGATTCTCGTGAGCAAAAAAATGATTAAAAACAAAGATGATTAAAATACACTGGTTTCATTTGGACTTCAGACATTAGAGACTTTACCAAGCTGACGTTACTTATTACGACGTATGATGTCAGTGAGAACATTGTTATTTCATTATAATTGTATCTCATTTCATTATAATCGATATTCATGTAATTAATAAAACCACATTCGGTAATTAATTTTAATTTTATGTAAATTTTAGCTGTAACCGTATAACTGTTGTAATATATTGTTATAATAATTGTTATATCTAAATTTTGAAGTATTTTGAATATCCAATAAGTTTTAATTTCTTTATTACATCTTATTTATTTACTGTCGAAAGCAGTTACTATTTTTGGAATTTTTATGTAGCGTTAGTTTATACCAGTGACGTAGCATAGATGTATAATTGAGATCGTAAAGCTAAAATTTATAGCACCGCGTACTAAGATTTTCCTAAGCAAATCCCTTTAATTAATCTAGTTTAAGGGAAATTTCGTTAAAAAAATAAACAATAAAACTAGCGAACGGTTTTTTTTTCCAGAGCTAGTTTCTTGTAGGAAAGTTCTCGTTCATTATGTATGTATGAGGTGTTTGATTTTTTTTATTGCCCTTGTATGAGAACAAGGCCCATTGATAATGGGTGTACCGTCCCTTATAGACGTCTCAAATGCAGAGGGTCTTAATTAATGAGCGGTGTGAATGAGATTATCGACAATCTGTACAGCCGCTGCTATATGGAGTTAAATATAATAGAAGTAGCTAGTATTTGGGAGGCCTGGCCTGGCATTGGCCGTGTTTCTTTGTCCAGAAGTGAACTACCGCTTCTCTCCTTTGAGAGCTCCCAGCATTTTAGACGACAACTTGGCTTAGGCCTTCAAATGAGTCAGATATTCGATATCACTCGAAACGGCTCTCACAAGTGTCACAATGCTCATGGAAGCTTGCAGGGATTGTCCTTGAAATTGTGTCACCATGAGAAATAGTCCTTCTTCGCAGTAAACAAGCAACGTGTGTCTTCAACAAGTTGGTTAACTTCACTCGGAGTCTTGCCCCAGAGAATTTTCCACTTCAGATTCAAGTTTTGATCGTATCTCGTGCACCACGCTGCGAGAGAGACTCTGATGGCCGGTTCTGTCATTCGCATAATAATGCATGCCATCAATAGATAGCCTGTTATTGATATACAGGATGAAAAGCCACAGTCTATCCAAAAAGCTAGCAATCCACTTGCGAAAGATTAATAAAATGTGATTAATAAAATGTGTAAAAAAAATGTAAAAAAAACAAAGTGTTAATATTTTTGGGGTTCCAGTTCTATGGAAAATGTGATATCAGCAGGGAAAACATTTTCTCTACCAAATATTTTACTGCAGAAAACAAACCTTACAAACCGTAACAAAATTTTGTTATTTATTTGATGATAAGGTAAATTGATTTGTAAATTGTTCCTCTGTATAAAATCCAAAAAATGCAACTTTGCAAATTCACAAACACTTAAAAATATTTTGTTTCAATTAATTATTTTAATGATTGTGTATCGGCAGTGAACCCGGCCTTAAGTAATTACCGGATAAATAGATAGACAGATATCGTATCGTAAATGCTGCCGCCCTCTAAGACAGAAGTCATATGATCTCGGTATAACAGCTGTCCCAGCCCTTACACCGAAATTCGTAATTATTTTCCAGCAGCTATGTGTAGATGCAGTTATTTGCTTAATTTAAAATTATCAACAAAATACTTGAACATAGGGTATTGTCGTAATACGACTGGGCGACGAAAGTCGGTGTTTAGGAGACATAAAATGTATTTCAAGGATGTAATGTTTTTATTCAATGCGCAATCGATTACTAACAAGTGGATAATCATTGAAAAGGTTTCTTCTTCAGCATTTAGATTCGAATCATAATTTCTTGTTGACATCTTCACTAACCGATTTCCCAAATTTGATATTTTAACATTTAAGTTACGCTTGAAAATATCACGATTGATTTATTGAGTAACCATTGAGTTCCGTAGAATTATTTTCTGATTAATTTCCTGATTATTTTCTCACTCATATCTTGCCAGAAGTAAAATTAAAATTTCAAAATCTTTACCAATAATTTTCTCTCTTTTTTTCTCTCTCTTTTTTAATTTTTTCTCATCTCCTAATTTTTTCTCACGATATTTTCATTTTCAAATTTTCCGCAACAAAGTTGTATTCTTGTGATTGTTTGTTTTATCTAAAGTTTACGGCAGTCCGTTCGTCTTGAGTTAATCCTTGCCAATGGTAGTACCATAGGAAATAGGAGCTTCTTATGGCAAAAATCCAGAACCTATTGTAACAGTGACATCATATTTAAGTAACGGTTGTTGTTGCAAAATACTAAAAAATACTGATTTTTTTCATGAGTTAAATATTTTTTTCCTGATACGACGCATTGAACAAAAATAAGCATAGTTTAATAAGTGAAGTTTAATGAGATAAAAAAAATGTTTTTAGTTTAATTTATTTATAGTGATATATATGTAGAATGTAAGTTTGATGTTAATGTTAATGAATTAATTTTATGAAGTAAAGTTAAGTGGATGTTGTTAAATAGTGTTTTATTTTCAAGAGCCTTTCACAACAAAGTATACGATATTACAATGTTATTATGCAAACAAAATTGTGTAACATGGAATTGTAAACACCAATATTAACGATAGAATAATTTATTGGATCCAATTTATATACTACACCAATAAGCGTCGAATAGTTATCCCAATTTTCACTTGTTATTTTCTGAACTCAAGTGAAACTCAATAATACAAAACTTATGATCAATGCTTACTTACTTATTACCGAAATAATCGGTAAATCTAGTCATCGTCTTAGCTGAACACTATTTCAATGCAAAAATAAGAAAATATTATTTTATAAGATTGATTTCTTAATAAGTCTGGAAGCTTTGTATGTATTAAAGTTTGCACGTTTTTTCGCGAATATATTACATAATATTATTATTCTTATAATAATATAATAATATCATTATTCTTTATAATAATGTGTTGATATAATAAAAAAGGCAAGTTTTACCCTAAATTACGATTTTGATTATTCACAATGAAACAAAAAAATAATCATAAATTACTACTAGTATACTTACTTAATGCTATTATTACACTTCACTGAATCGATTTGTCGACTAAATTCAGCCAAGTGTAATAAGTCTTTTAAAAAGGAATTTATTTCTTCGCTTTAAGAGTTTGACAGTTTGATTTAAAAAACTAAAAAATGAATCATATAAGTCGATTACAATGTTTGCCAGTCTAGTAAGTTCAAGATATTTATAACTTTAAGGATTATAAGCGTTAGGTATTTCTTCTATTATTTTAATTCAATGTTTTACGATTTTAGTGACGGTATCTTTACCTGACCGATTTTAACAATATTCCTCAAACAATCTATCAATATACTTATATAAATCTACAGTGGTTTTTACGAATGTTTCATTATAACTACTGAACCATACATCCGATTGACTTGAAACTTGGTATCCATGTAGAAAATACATGTACTTAATAGATAGGCTAATATTTAAATGAGTCTTGGACTCCCTAATAATAATGACAATAAATAACAATATTAATTTTAAATGCCCAGCAAAGCGGGCGAGTACTGCTAGTATATTAACAAAGTTCGCCGTCACGCGTGTCTGTATCGAAAGCAATAAGCTCGAAAACTAAAGAGCGGATTGTCATACCCCTTTCACCAATCAATTATTATTGCTTGATGTTATTGAGTGATACATATTTTTCCCCTACCTATTCGCTGGTGGTCTAATTCTATTCTATTCCAGCTTCGGGGGCTATTCCAGCTACACTCGGCCGGGTAGGTAAACTCACGGGCTCAACCTGAAAGAATCAGCTAACACTCGCCATAGCAAGGGCAGTGCTTCGCAGAATCTGCCACCGGATCGGAAGCCCGACACCCTGAAAATATCCGGCGAGAAACTCAGTGGGCTGTGTCTGAGGGTTAAATAATTCATGAGAAAGGCTCAGATGTTTAATTAATTATATTTTTTTATTAATTGGCTTAACGGCGACGGAAGGAATCGTAAAAAATCATGCAGACCGGGAGCTTTTCTGACGTGTCCCGCGTAAACAAACGGAATTATCTGATAACAATTGTATATTTCAGGTCAAAAATATAATAATAACTTTAAAACGACTGATTAAACAGTGAAAAACTATGGTAAACTAAAATCAATACTTTCAGAATGACCATAAAATTTTAATTACAATGGATGGTGTAATAAATATTTTGTTAAAATACTTTTGACTATAGAAATAAAGACCCCAATAAGATTATTTCATAACAATAAAGCTCTTATACATATTTGAATGAGAGTCGATAAGAAAAGAAGATCCCCGTGGCATACCTATTCTTCCTATTACAATGGAAGAAAGGGTAACAAATTACCAATTACTTGTTGGTGAGTACGTATTAGGTACCTCGAAGGAAAATGGAAACCGGCTTGGAAGGAAATTATTGTCAAGAAAGCTTAAACGTATTTACAATTAAAGTATTTGTCTTTACT